GCAAGTGCAGATATGAGTTTAACATATCTTAATCTTTCAAGCAACAGTTTTGCTGGAGAACTTCCAGATTGCTGGAGCCATTTGGAGATTCTAGTCATGCTTGATTTGAGTAACAACGCTTTTTCTGGAAAAATTCCCATGACAATAGGCTCTTTATTTCAAATGCAAACTTTGAAATTAAGAAGAAACCAATTTGTTGAAGAATTGCCTTCATCGTTGAAGAACTGCGCAAGTTTAGAAGTTATTGATCTGGGAGATAATAAATTATCAGGACCAATACCTACATGGTTAGGTGTGAGCTTCAAGAATTTGGTTATCCTGATGCTTTCCACTAATCACTTCAATGGAAGCATGCCCTCACAATTATGCCATCTAACACACATTAAAATTATGGATTTCTCTATGAACAACATCTCTGGAAGCATACCCAAATGCCTCAACAGTTTGACTACTTTGGCTCAAAAAGGAAATCCAAGTCTATCCAGCACACATTTTTATGACATGGGTAATGAGTCTTATGACGATGATGCAAGCTTCATATGGAAAGGAAGAATGGAGACATACAAAAGCACTTTGGGCCTTGTGAAGAGAATTGATCTCTCAAGTAATAGATTAACAGGGGAGATTCCAAGTGAAATCACTCGTCTTGTTGGGTTGATTTCTTTAAACCTTTCGAGAAACCAATTAACAGGTCAAATAACTCCGGAGATCGGAAACTTGGAGTCATTGGATTCGCTTGATTTATCAAGAAACCAGATAGATGGAAGAATTCCGACAAGCCTTGCTCGGATAGATCGTTTTAGTTTCTTGGACCTGTCATATAACAACTTGTCTGGCAAAATACCCACAGGCACTCAGCTCCAAAGCTTTGATCCCCTTGATTATGCTGAAAATCCTCTACTCTGTGGACCTCCACTTAAAAAGATGTGTGCTGATCAAAATGAGCCAACTGACTGGAGCAATGAAGAGGATAAGGATGAGTTTATAACACTGGGATTTTACATCAGTATGGGGATTGGGTTTGCTGCGGGATTTTGGGGAGTTTGCGGCAGTTTGATATTCAAAAGGTCATGGAGATACGCATAGTTCAAGTTCTTGAATGATTTAAATGATTGGCTTTATGTGAGGATAGCTTTGATCAAGCGGCAACTAAAGTTAGCATATGCTTAATAGATAAGCTCGTGACGGTACTCTTTCTCTCTCATCATTAATTTCATTTTATAATTATTTTCTTATTGCATTCTTCTTTTCTCCAAACTGACGTGTATTAATTTGTTTACTTTGATATTTAGTTGCAGCATCTAAATTAGGAGAAAAGTAGCTGTAGCTGAATGCCTCCTTTCAGTTCAAGTGT